CAAGGGACAAGGAGATGCGCAAGCACTAAGTAGGACAACAACCTCTTTTCGCCATTCGCAGCGCTGTGAGCCAATAGGAATGAGAGCCTTAGCTTCTCGTTCCTAACAGGCGGGTGGTAGAGAGTGGCAATGGAGGATGCCCAGGGGGAACCTTAGTTCCCTTTGTTGATGTCCGACATTTCCAATTTTGTACAAAGAGGTACAGATACCATGCTAGGATAGTCCAAAGTTTCACCTGTTTCACACGGGCCTTGCACGCAGCAGATCACTTTTTGCAATGACGCAGCACTTCACGGATTTAGGAGACACCCCGTTTTGGCACCTTTGTGTGCCGAAGGGTGCTGAGTTGACCTCCCTTCGGGGAGGTGTGCCCTTTCGCACCCTTACCTGCAGGCTTTCGTCGTTTGCTATGGCCGCCACTGTTTGATCACCGACTGGTAGCATGCCTCTGGACTTGTAAGGGCAACCAGTTGCATGGGTTGTGCTACAAGAAAGGTCTTTTCCACGGCATGCAGCATAGCTACCGCCACTCCATTTTGACATGGATGCAACCGGCGTTGGAGCATTGCGACACTCCTGACCTGCATCGTGACCATGGTTTTGCCGCACTGTTGGGTGGCCGCTGGTCACTAGTGAGCAAGAAGTAAAGTCCATTTGAAGCCTTTTTTGGAGACTTTGCCAGAACACAGACCTGCGCTGCTATGCTTTTCGCTCGAGAATTCAGGCCCATTGATAGTCTTTAGTTTTCGTTTCACTTGTTTCACCTAGCACAGAGGAAAGACTACAAGATGGTGGAGACTCGGCCTGTGGGCTGTGGTTTGTTTGGTTTTGGGTGGTTTTGTTGTCCTTGTTCTTTTCTCCACCATCTGACTGTTCTTCCCTTCCTTCAACGATGACCTGGGCACCATGCCCACACGGCGTCCGTACTCGTGGAAAAAAAAAGGTGGAAACATGGCTACAGCCATCTCCAAACACCATCCAACTGGTCGAGGAAAAGGCAACAGCCTTTGGAAGAAGCTACAAACATCCACAAACTGCCTGCACGGCCTGTGATCTCCAAGAGAACTATGACGACATGCTTGAAGTGTTCTACGAGGCCGCTGACGACGACCTTGAGCCCAATGAGGTGAAGAGTATGAGGGTGTCTTTTGAGGAAGACCCCATGGACGACGAAAGCCTCTACAGCACAACCTGCCAGCTCACACTCACAACACTTGCTGGAGAAGACCTCTTCATGCCAATGTGTGTTCGAGAACATGATCGTCTGGACGAACTGGAATCGTCTGGACGAACTGGAAGATGTGAAGTGGATCCAATTTATCCGGGCACCCAGAAACCTCTAAAGGACCCAATATGGGACGTCCTTCGCAGCTGCAGCGTGATGGTTGCCAGGTTGCCGATGACACCCGAAAGCCATCCGCGTCCCAGCAAAAACCTCGGACGTCATCCCATTTGAGAGCTGAGCTGCCTCACGCTCTCCCAAATCACGCTTGCCCAAGCCTCGTTGTCAAATCTCCCACTGCCACCCCCATCTGGAGGGGTGCCAGTGGAGTGTTTTAGTTCATCCGGACTTGAGTGCCTGAGCCACCAGAAATTAACCTTCCAGGGACTGTAGCATGTGAAAACTGCAAACGACTTGCCTTTGTCGACCTGTCTAGCACGTCGATCGAAGCCATCCGGGATCCAGCTTCTCACACTGCATGAGTCTTCAGCACATCTGGCTGCCACACAACAGCAAATTCACAAATGTGCAGTGCTCTTCAAGAAGTGGACATCCCGCCCAGACTGCTGCTGTTGCCCACCGAGCTTTTCTTGATTGCGGACAGCTGGCACAATTTGAACTCATGATTGGCAAAAGAACAACTTTGGAAAGGACCTTACGCAGAAAGCAATGCATTCGATCTGTGCTCTCACTTTGAAATTCCGAAGTGGGTCAACCTCCTCCTACGGGATGGGCAAACCTCCGACGCATTTGACAGACAGGAGGCACAGTGTTGAGTGCTCTTCTCTCGCCTGTCTGTCTTGCCACATGTAAGCCGACAGCAACTTTAAGGCTCCTGCACTGACAGAGCGAAGCTACCCACGATTGAGTCGGTTTCTCAATTGACTGAATCCCTGAAAACCTTGGTCCTTGTCCAGAGTGGACGACTGCCCTGCCAGCCGTGCACAAAGTGTGCAGCAAACATCACCCCATTCTTTTTTTTTGCACGGATGGAGACGCTATGTGTGCATGGTGCACAAGTCATCATTGACTACGTTTGAATGAGTCTCCTGGTGAAGGAACCGAGAAGCAAAAACAGACACGCAGAGAGCAACCAACCGACCAAAAAACAACAACCAGACCCCAAAACCACGAACACGAAAGGAGATTCGACTTTGTACATGCAAGGTGAAACGTTGGTGAAACAATGCTATGACTTCTTTGTAGTTGGGCAACGATTCAGGTATGAGCTTCGAAGATGAATCGTTCTCGTTTGCACTCTCGAAGGAGAGGGGCAGCGGGCCTGAAGAACAGGCCTGTTCAAGAACACTGGTTGAAATCAGTGCTCCCGCTCTTTAACTTTTCTGCTGGCTTGGATCGCAATCACTACGACACTACGAATTTAAAGATAGGCGTGGTTCACAAAGAAAACCCCGCTGGCCGGGCAATCACCAAGCTCCTTACTTCCCTCGATCTGGAAGCTGAACATGCCCAGCTCTTCGTCAGACCTGTAGGAAGGGAGGAGGCGGATGCCAACACAGCACGCACTCCATATGATCTTGCCACGCATGCATGTGCAGCCGCAATCCCGAAGACGAAAGTGGTCATTGCAACCACTGGCCTTGTTTGGGAGCAAAACTTCAACTGAGGGGGGTCTATTTTCTTTCCGCGCAAAATGTAGTTTTTGCTGCGTATAGGTTGCTATGTTACTTGTGGCCCAAAACAGGTGTTATAGCTTGGACGGCTGAATCTATAATGCCTGACGCCGTCCAAGCGAGATGATTTTGAGGATAGTTTCAACCGAGGTATACTGTGGGAGAAAACCGCAGCGCAGTCATTTCTGAGGAGCTGTGTTTTTCTCGTGTGCATGCGTTTTTGACTGTCATCTGAAGGAAAGCGAGATTATCGGGGGAGCAAGGAAAGCTTTTGCTGCCACCAAGATGTGGCTTTTCAGTTTTGTGCAACTGGGTTATTTTCGTGGTTGAGTCATTCAACTTTCAACAAAGCCTGTAGCAGGCTTGCTTGAAACTTAGCAACTTCGAACAGGGCTGGTATCCAATCCGGTGGGGACCACAGACCGGTAGATGGTGCACATCGATTAGCAGTGAGTAAGCTTTTGAAGTTGAGGAGACAAAGGATACAGGTGAAGGTAAAAGTCAGTCCATCGCTCACTCGCCCCGGAAAGCCATCTGGAGCTCACAAGTCAGCTTTCGTTCCTTCGATCCTTGTTCTCTGGTGTGCCCGATCCAGACTGGAATGTGGTGAGGGTCTCAGAAATGCTGTGGAATGCCGAGATTTTTTTTGCACTTACTTGCTAAAACTTACTTGGTTGGCTAGGCAATCCAGAGCGGCTCCCCGGCCTTGCTGACATGTTCTTCCAGATTGTTGAGCTGCCCGTGGAACTCACTTTTCTACATCATCGTGTGTGTGAGATGTTGAGATTTTCCTCTTGGCCAGGGTTGAGGTTCCCCGTCCAGTCCAGCTGGGGTCCCTCAAGTCGGAGAATGAGGGCCAGGCAGACATCATTCTTAATTGGTACGAAGAGCTAGCATATGCCAGCAGCTAAAAATATGTAATGGGCGATGCATGGTTTGCACTTATTTTTTCTTACAGTTGTAGTTTTTCATTCATTTCAGATCAGATTCTTAATGGGATTCCGAGGGCAAGAAAGACAGCGTCGCCAGGATCCAGGGATCCGCCTGGTGCCTGCTGGTGGGGGTGGCTGGGGTCGACCCAAGGAGGAGGGGATGGTGTGGACATTGTTGACACTGGGCTGCGACTGTCATTTATATAGAATCCCCGAGAGCCTCAGGATGTCATTGAGGAAGAGGAGGTGGAGTCCCAACAGCAGTGAAGCCTGCATGTTTCAACTTCTTAAGTCTATTCAGCTAAATGGTGCATGGTATAGACTGTTTATAGAGTCGCCAAAGTCCTTGTAGATGAACAGCTTTCTGCAAGGAACCCACGGCTGGGCAACTTGACTTCCCAACCTGCGCAGCTGCGCCCCACTGCTTGGGGCAGGAGTGTCACGTCGGCTTGCTGTTTGAAGGAATGGGAGAAAAGTCTCAAAGAGTAGGAGGTCCTTGCAATTCCACAGCAACAACATTGGTTTGAGTGTGGCTTTAGGAGCAGCTTGTCAGCACAAGCTGGCCCAAGGCAAGGACCTGTGGAAAGGATTTGGAGAATTTGTGCAATGTGGGCAACGCAAGCTCGCGACAGGCCTGCACCTTGGGCACAGCCACCTCCAGGAAAAGTGGTGCCAGAGCCTGTGCCCATGGAGAGGAAGGAAGAATTCCCTTCCTTGGGATCTGAACCTCCAAAGGTGAGGGGTTTTTGAGGTTTTCAAGTTATCGCAGAACTGAAGCTTTGTTGCCAGGGACGGAGAGCCTCTGGCTCGGGCCCTTCTATTCCACCGGCTCCTGCCCACATCTCAACGGCCCTTGGAAATCTGGCATTGTCAGTGATAGCCTGCCTCTTGAACATCAGATCGCTGCTTGCAGCTTGCGTTTTGGATTTTGCTGTTTGACATAGCTCAAAGCTTTTAACTTATGACCATCCATGAATGTCTGCAAAGGGTGTCACGAGTCATTGGCACCTAAGTTTCGCAGTTCCTCTAACATGAAGTGAGGCCAAAAGTCTTAAGAGACGTGCTTACTTTGTTTCGTCAAGTGGGCCAAGCAGCAAAGTGTGTAGAGTCTTAGAGTTTTCTTGTGCACTGTAGACTGTAGAGTTTGAAGAACCTGGGAAACGAAAGACATGCTGACAATTTCAGAGGGTCCTTGTTCTTTGATGGCCAGCCATGGCGCTCTATGCGGAGCAGTTGCCACCAACACCTTCCATAAGCCCAGTTTACCAGGTGCGAAAGGTATGGTTCGGACCAGGCGGGGATGCATGCACACGATGAGCACACGCTTGGCTTCGTGATTCCGTCTGAGTTCGAGGAGATCGGCCACGGGAGACGCGGGACTCCGCAGCTCGAACGACCGCCATCAGCGGAGCCGTGCTGGCCTCGTTGCAAGGCATGCGGAGCACACGAGGAGAGGGAGACGGTCAGAGAGAGTGGGAGTGTTCACCATGTTTCGACGCTTCCAACTTAATAGCAATGGCCTCCAACCTAGAAGCGATGACCTCCAACCTAATGTTCTGACGCTTCTCTTTCTTATAGTATCTTGAGGAGTGCCACGTCCATCAACAGAATCTCCGACGCGCCAGAGAATCAGGGCTCGGCGTTACACTTCTGTGGTGCCTTAGGCAGAATGCAGCAAGACTTTGCAAGGAACAAAGGGCATCGCTACTAGGCAGGGACGCTACTAGGGGCTCCTGGCCTTACTACTAGGAGCAAGAAGCTACTAGGAACAAAGGGCAGAAGACTGTCTTCTGTCAGATGGGAGGGGCGAGAGAGAAGCGGTGTCATGCCTTTGCCTCTGGTTTCACCCAGGATTGGATTGCGAATCTTAGAGGTCTTGGTACATCTAATCTTTTGCGGCGCATTCTTGGTCCTGTTGTTTGTACAACTTCAGTGGCAGTCATAGTCTTCCTGGCGAGCGCTTTGCTAATGCCTCAGGCATGGGGTGTGATTTGCTTCTACATTTTTATTTGGTTTCTTTTTGGTAGTATCACAGATCCTTTGCAGACATGAGAATGATGTTGAATAACCTGGCAATGCAGGGAAAGTTCTTGCACGCTAGTACAACTGGACACGCGCTCTTGGTCTCGGCGTTGGGCCTGCTCTTGGTCTTCCGAACAAACACGGTCGCAATTCTGCAGATTGAGAGTCAACACTCGATTTCTTGTACCAAGGAAGACGAGGTCCATGGAAGGTTCTAGTTTCTAATCATGGTTTGATGCCGAACACAAGAGACCACGACTTGGAGAGGATGGTTTTTCTTCTCCACCGCGTGGCGGTTGGACCCAGGCCTATTCGCGGTTTTGGGAGGGCCGGCAAATCTGGCAGCAAATCCTGGATAATGGCAGGTGCACGATCAGTTTGGATGTTAAAACGCTTTGCAAGCTGGGTTTGTTTGAGCATTTGACATGAAGCCGCTGCCAGGAACCTGGCTCGTGCAGCCATCTTGTGGAGAGAGGAGATGGGATCCCAGACCTCAGCACACATATGCTTTTTGCCTGCAATTCCAAGAGCTTTTGCGTTGCAGTCATTGTATTTTTGATCGTCCTTTTCCAGCGAATTTAAACAGTCTATTCATATATAATACTATACTGTAATATATTTATGCTTAAATCAATTGAGGCCTAGAAGGTACTTGAATGATTTCAGCCGTGATTTTCTTTGTTCCTTTGCAGGCCGTTTAGTGCAAGCATTTCCATACTGCATGATTGAGCACCTTCGTAGCAAGAAGGCGGGCGCCAGACTACTAGGAATCAAGTGGGCAGCAGTTGAACTTTATCCAGGTAGAAGAGGCAGTCTTTCAGTTTTTTTGCTGCGACGAAGAAATAGTGAAATGCAAGACCTGAGCCCTGGACAGACAGCACCCGGTTGTAGCCTCTATCAACTCTGATTTTGAAGCGTTTCCCTTCCAGCCAAACCATTGAATGTCCAGGACAAAGCTATGCGATCGAAGCTGGAACGACTTATTGGTCCCAAGGGTGAACTTGCCTGAAGCTTGACTGAGATTCAAACCATGCCAGCTGTGAGCCTGCCTTTGGTTGCCTTCCGCTGCATCAGTTTATGTAATGAAACTTTTGGCAGGATTTCTCCCTGAGGCAATCCTCAATCGGAGTACAGCTTGCCACTTTCCTCCAATCGACCACTCTTTATTGTCAACCAGTTGCTCAGTCGCAACAAGATCCATTTGACTCTGGCCATTTGCAACGTGCCACCAAGGCTGGCCTATGCGATTAGGGAGGTCCCGAATGGCACAGGCGACAAGGCACTTTGTGTTTTAAAGAAGATATTTTTACATTTCTTATATTTTCTAAAGATTATAAAGATTATATCATCTGACTGTGGACCGTGGAACTAGGGCCAGTCACTTGTTTGTATACTCAGCTTGTTGCAAGCTTTGATCGTAATCTGCATGCGAAAGACGATCAAAGGACTCATTTGATGGATGTGCAAGTGACGTCGTTTCAACGCAAGCTTGCGTGAACTTTCATTTTACCTGTCAAAGGCTTTGTATACAAATCGAGAGCGATCATGGCTCATGCAAAACCTGGAAAAGCTTAGCCTTGGCCCTGGACTTTTGAGCTTCGCCTTGGTTTGAAGCCGGTCCCATCGAGAAGTCCTGCTTGCTGCTGGGCTTAAGGTGCTACGATTGGAGCTTGTGAGCGCCTCGTACAGACACCTGTGCCCTTGAGTGTCTCGACGCACAGGTAACAGGTGACCGTCGTCAAGGAATGTTGGCCTGGCAAACCATGCTAGATTCTGTCATCATGTAACTGTTTGGCGCACTGGCAGATCATATGTTGGGCTAGACTGAGGTTACGTGCGACACACATCGCGATTCCTGTCGTTATTTATGCTCACGAGCCTCAGCTGAAGATTAGCCCCGTTGGGCACGGCGCTCGGCAACTTTTCCACAACAACTGATCTCCACCGAGGCTTCCGTTTGCTTTAGTCGATGTCCTGGGGCCGTATACAATTCCAGTCACGTGTGGCTTGCTTGCATGATGGTTGATTTTGAATTATTTTATCGATTTTCCCAGCTCAGCAAGTGGTGTGGAAATGTGTGGAGTCATCCTGGCTTAATGCATAATTGTGTCTCACCTGTCATATTCGTGACAGTCACACCCAAGGTTTTGCAAGTTGGGCCCTTTTCGGAATTTTCGAGATTGGCTTGGTCATTGAGGCGTGATCTTACCCACATGCATTGAATCCCACTTTGTATTCAATCCCTCTGCGTTTAGAGCCGCATCTCCGTTTTCTGAGCACCTGTGTTCAAAATGGCTTGGCGATCGGCAGGACCCATTTCAGGGCGTCCTCAAGGTTGAAGTCATTGCAGAGACCTTGCAGGCAACCATCGCTACTAGGAGCAAGGACGCTACTAGGGGCTCCTGGCATCGCGACTAGGAGCAAGAACGCTACTAGGGGCTCCTGGCCTTCTTACTAGGAGCAAAGAAGCTACTAGGGGCTCCTGGCATCGCTACTAGGAACAAGGACGCTACTAGGGGCATCGACCAGCGACCGGGAGTTTGGTACGACCGCCATGATGAGTTGGGCCAATACCAAGTCACTCAGGCCACACAACTCACACAGAGCTCCTGAAAGGGCAAACACCTCATGTAAAGGGAGTTGGCGGGAGGTGGGCAGGAGTAAGACGTAAGCTACGTGAGTAGTAAGTTTTTGTATAATGTAAAATAACTTTTGTTCTTTCTTGAACAGTCCTTCGCGTGGTCGAAACGGTTCGATTTTTGTTTTTTTGGACAGAGTGTCCCGTGATATATGTGCGTAACACCTTGAAAACAATCGACGTACATCCATTGCCCATTGCAGTCAACATTGTTTGAAGCACTCTCGACACGGTCATGCCGTATGCTCATACGTAGGATGAAGTGCCGCTTCTTTTGCATATGCCTATGCGTTCGTAGATCGACACTACTTTAACACACAAGATTGCAATCAATCAGGTCTGGTATCAGCACTCGCTGACTGCAAGTTTCTTCGTTGGGATGATGACTGCGGTACCTACACATCCACAAACTACCACAAACTATGTTCGTCGAACAGACAAGATATATTCCGTTGGACATCCGAAGTCGAGCACTTCAGGCGGACATTGAGGAATGCATCCGAAGTCTTGGTGCCTTAGACTTGCTGGATGCGGGTGCTTTGGGCAAAGAGGTGAAGCGGAGCGATGCCTCCAGCTCCAGTGCCTCGGCTGCCGTTTGGATTGAAGGACCTTTTGGACTTTGACAAGCTTTTGGGTTCCTTCTCACTAAGTCTTGGCAGGGGTGAACAATGAGCTTACTGTAAGTCATTGAGATGTTGCATCTATTTTCCTTTGAACATATATATATATATATTCTGGAACTCTGGATCCAAAGCAATGGAGGAGGTAAGGTGAATTTTGGCTGTGTATGTACTGAACAAGTTGGGATTGAATCCTTGCAAAACACGCAGCTTGCAAGGACTTCACACTGGTAGTGGGCAACACAATATTGGCATGAAGGCTTTGAGGATTGTTTAATTTCAGACCACTGCCAAAAAAGCAGGCTATGCCCCGTCCCGTGAATTGCCCTCTACTGGCGAAGAACTCTCTGCTGCTTGGCCAGAGAAAGCAACGAAACATGTTGCGATGCTGCTTATCGAGCATCAACTGCATGGAAATACTACGCAATATTCATAAACAAGGCATCGACGCTAACCGGGGCGCTGCGCGAAACGAACGTTTCTTTGGAAGACATCAAGTGCAATGCGGTTAAAACCCTTGGTTTTTGTTGTTTTTTTGAGATAGGCTCTTAAGAGGTCACCTGGCTTTTGTATTGGCAGGCTCAATATAAAAGGTGCGGAGAAAAGGTTGCTTTGAGGAAGGGCCGAGGCGAAAGCGACGTTTCTTTTAATTCTTCAGCGGATCAACCGGGCGACCGGTGACCGCCTTCCAAAGATCGCCCTGTGTGTTCCAGCGAAATTGAAAGAACCTAGTAAACGAGTACGTAGACCTAGTAAATGTCGGGACAATATGTATGCACAACAAGATACAGCATAGATGTTCGACGAACGTCTGTGGAGTAAGGACGTGAAGTGCGAAGCCCAAATTGACACAAGAACCCACAGCAACCACCTAGCCCCTCCCAGTCCAACGGTCCTTTGTCCACAATGGTAATAGTGGCTGAAACGAAGTCAAAAAGAGGGCCAGATGGTTGAGTGAAAAGGTCCAAGGCAGAGTCAAAAGCCCACGGATCGGTCGCGCAAAATTTTTCAACACAGGGTGGTCCCTGAAAGCGAAAAAGTACCGGCTTAAACGCAACAAGAGAACAAGACACAACGAAAGACAAAGTGCGGTAGTATGCTGCATGTTTGCGGCCGTGTATGAAACGTCTGCGCGCAAGTGTAGGAAACTAGACCCCAGCCCACCCCACCCCCCCATATGGACACAGTGTGTATGCGTACGAAGCTAAGCCGTAGGCCCCGCATGTGCCCCAACTTGTAAAAACGTATTCCAAGCCCAAAAAAATTGAAAAACATGTGGTTTCGCGCAGGGCCCCGGTTAGCATAGTAGGCATAAACCAAGAAGCAGATGATGGGGGCCAAATTGGCAGAGTTAGGCCATAGAGTCAATCAAATGTGTTGGTCCACAGCTTCTATGGCTTACAAGGTTGCTCGGGCAGCTTCGATGGCCGAAGACACAGTGCAGGACAGAAAAAAGAAGTAAGGTAGGTAGGTAGGTAGGTAGGTAGGAAGGAAGGAAGGAAGGAAGGAAGGAAGAAAGAAAGAAAGAAAGAAAACAAATAAATAAACACGAAAGAAAAAAGGACAGAAAGAAAACAAGGAAGGAAGGAAACAAGGAAGCAAGGAAGCAAGGAAGCACGGAAGCAAGGAAGGACAACACAAGAAGGATTTTCCAAGGATTTAAAGTGATAAGACTAGAAAAGACAGAAAAACAGGAAACACATATTTTTGTTTGACACATTCATCTCATGCGAGATGATGCGATGCCTCGTAGCGAGCTTCATTGCACAGGACGGCTCGGTCGATACCTTCAAGCCGCCGGAGTTGACGAATGGCCGCGGTCGTTTGAGAGATGTGAAAGAAATGAATGAGGAAAAACGCACCTTGGCTGAGTGTAGTGTACGCAGTTTGCTTGAAGTCACCCATTCTTGCAAGTCACTACCTTTTGTGTTCTTCAATTCAGGCAAGCCACAAGTCTTGCTCGAGATCTTTCAATCCTATGATGTGAACGGAGACCAGGCATGTCGTGTCATTCTGGAATCAAAACTGAGATGGCACTGGGTAAAGCTTGGACAGACATGTACTTGAGCCAGTACGCGCCTTTGAGGCCATTGACAAGAAAGAAATGCAGAAGGCACTTCTGAAATCAACTGGTCATATTTGCTGGAAGGTTCGTGACTGATATGATTGTGGAGTTGCGGATCTCGATTTTTTTGGTACTTAGTACTTGTACCATGCATATGTACAGCTTGTGAACCTTGGAGGTTTTGCAGGACAGTGCGGCCGACATGGATGTCCCGTCCGACTGTATTTGAGCAGCAAGCAGGAATCATTTGGCATGTAGCTGCCCGACATGGAGCATTTGTCATCTCAATCCTGAAATCTGATCCCTGCCCAAATCTTGAAGCAGATCCGTACTTTTGGTTTTCGAGGTATCGATGTGATCTTTGACGAAGCCGATTCAGATGGTGATGGGCTGCTCACACAGGCCGTGATATTTATGAACGAATCCGACCTACATTTTTTTCTCTTGCAGGAACCTTATATAATTAATCATGAACGAAAAGACATGCTGAGCCAGTCAACTTCTGAAGCAAAACATTTTTTGAAAAGTGACTTGGGTCTCTGAATGACAAAGCTCTTGAACATCTCTTGAACATCGAAACATGTTCACCAGGCAGAATGGTGCGCTTGGGCAGAAGCGTGCCTTGATCGTGCTGAAATAGCAGACCTAGTGCTGCGTATGCCCAGCTCGCCTCTTTTGCCAGCTGATAGCCATGACGATACCTGGGAAGCTTGGCTCAATTTGGGCAAAGGGGTGGTGACTCTGGCATCACAGCACCCACTGGAGGACGCAGAGGAAAAAGATGAGGAGCCGCAAGAACAGGAGGAGCTGCCACCACTGCCAGAGGAAAAGTCACTCAGCCGGCATTTCATTGACCATTTCTGAATCCATCACTCACTTTTACAGCACCCAAAACTGCCCTCAGCTGAGGCCACAGAAGTCTGAAGCTCCGTCTGAACAAGCTGAACCTCAAAGCACCGTAGAAGCAAAGTCTTGACCAAAAGGTGGGGTGGAAGTTGTTTCTCGGGCCTTGCAAATCTTGGGAAAGTCACCAATGCAGGATATCGAAGCAATTCTCTTGAAGGCTGCCCAAAGAAGGCTAGCGATGCTGTGCCAGCTTACTCTTTAGCTTCATTCTTTTGGACCAAGATCGTTTCGATCTGACCCTCCTTCCTGTCAGCTTATGCAATTGTATTGGCCAAGCTAAGCAGTGGTAAAGCTCTGAATTGACAGGCAGGAAGGAAGTGGCAGGGTATTTTTGGGAGCATCGCCTCTCTCCACAGGCTAATGTCACCGTCCACACCGCATAGAGCGATGCGAGTATGCCATTGACAGTGGACATCGTGGGTCTCGATCAGAGAAACTTTCAGTCGAGCCCACTTCCACACAAGGATGTCAAAGCTTCGCACAGCCACTGCTCACCTACAGAGAGGTACGTGCCAGAGAGCCTCAGCAATCATTTGCCCTGGTTGGAGAAGCTTTGAGCATCGCATCCATGGGTCTCAATAGACCTGAAATCCGGAGTGCCCAACTTTTCTGCAAAGTAGTTGTCCGTTCCAGTTGCATCATGTTGCATCTAAATCAGATAGAATCTTCATGGGGTATTGGGTGAATGGGGCATCAGACGGGCTTCATCCGTCGTTGGGTGGAGCATGGGTTCCGCAAGCAAGGTCTGAGAGTTTGCCAGAGGGACCCAGACACAACAGCCGAGACACAGAAAAGTTGTGAGCGCTGCTTTGATGCTTTGTTCAGATTCACAAAGGTGCAAGATTGAACAATTGAACAGTATCGAACAAGATTCAGACAAGATCCACTCTGACCATTCTCATCTTCCAAGACTTTACCCTGATTCAACCTCCAATTTGAGGGCGCCCAACCCCCCCTCAATCTCCGTCAACGGATGGAGACGAGGACCATCCACCAAGGCGCCCAGCACCCGCCCGATCGGTGCCCCAGTACCACGGGTGACGCCTGTGGACAGGGCCACTTGGCAAAGATCTGAGATTTCAATTCACTAATAAGTAGTAGCTTCTTGTTACTAGTAGTAAGGCACTTGTTACTAGAAGCGATGCACTTGTTCCTAGTAGCTTCTTGTTACTAGACATAAAATGCCAAATTGTAATGGTATGTCATTGAAACCATGTCCTTGACGGTGCAAACCTGGTTCATAGCGACAACTTGTGTGCAACCTGCTACTGGTGATGAATTGAAGTGCAAGTTTGCCTGCCAGAGGAGCGGGTTTCAGAGCGCTCTTTCGAGAAGAAGCCGGAACGTGAGATGAAGCCTGAGCCGCGAGAGACTCGCGAAAGGGAGCGTGAGCGGTAAGAGCCCAAGTATACACATTTATGACAAACTCAAGGTAAGGGCCCCTTTAATGAGGGCCTGATTAAAGGGCACCCCCTAGCCTCTTGTTATTTACCAGGCTACCGCATGCAGCCGCCGACCCCAAGGGAAAATCTAGTGGCAGGGTTGGGTCCCAGCCTTAGCCTTAAGCCTTAGCCTTGGCCTTAGTCTTAGACTTAGCCTTAGACCTTAGCCCTAGCCTTTAGTTAGCCTTAGACCTTAGCCCTAGCCTTTAGCTTTAGCCTTAGACCTT